AGTATGTAAAATATTCTTAAAACTTAATAGAAAAATGAATAAACATTTCACCAAAGAAGATATGTGGATGGTAAATCAGTACACAACAAGATGTTCACCATCATTAATCATTAGGGAAATTCAAAGTAAAACCACAATGAAATACTACTACATACCTATTAGAATGGCCACACTTAAAAAGACTGACCAGCCCTGGCCAGTGTGGGTCAGTTGGTTGGGCATTGTCCGATGCAACAAAAGGGTGCTGGTTTCATTCCTGGTCAGGGCACATGCCTGGGTTGCAGGCTCAATCCCCAGGGTGCTCTCACATTGATATTTTTCTCTCTCTTTCTCTCTCTAAAAGTCAATAAAAATATTTTTTAAAAAAGACTGACCATAGCAAATGTTGGCACTCCTAGTGGGAATGCAAAATTGTACAACTACTCTGGAAAACAGGTAATTTTTATATATAATCATTTCAGAGAGGAAGGGAGAGGGATAGAAACATCAATGATGAGAGAGAACCTCCTGCACGCCCCCTACTGGGGATCAAGCTCACAACCCAGGCATGTGCCTTTGACCGAAATCGAACCCAGAACCTTTCAGTCCGCAGGGCAACGTTCTATCCACTGAGCCAAACCAGCTAGGGTGAAAACAGGTAATTTCTTAAAAAGTTAAAAACACATACTATGTGACCCAGTCATTCCACTCCTAGGTATCTTTTAAAAAATAAATGAAAACATGTCCATACAAACACTTACACACAAATAAACATAGACATTTTATTCATAGCAGCCCCAAACTCAAAATACAATGCTCATCAACAAATTTTGGTGTATTCAAGTAATGGATAACTACTCAGAAACAAAATAGGAAAATGACTTCATGCATACAACAACATGGATGCATCTTAAAATAATTATGCAAAGTGAAAGAAGGCAAGCAAGAAGGGTGATATATAGCATGATTCCATTTATACAACATTCTAGAAAATGCAAACAAATCTACAGAAACAGATTAGACAGTTGTTGCCTAGGGACATGGGGAAGGATTACAAAGGGGCATGAAGAAACTTTCAAGGATGATTGCGGTGATGACTTCACAGGTGTATAGATTTATTAAAACATCAGATTGTACATTTTATGTACAGTTGTACCAATTATACTTAAATGAAACTGCATTTAAAAATAACTTGTGTAATCAGATAAAAACTGTCTAAATAAACTAACAAAAAAGTACAACATAAAAGTAAGTCCAAATGTAAATAAACTCGCAGTGCTTGGCTTCTTAAATATCTACAACAAAAGGTATTGCTGCAGCACTTTTCACTGTGTATTACATCTGTGTGTTTGTGAAGCAAGGGTGGTGGGTAGAATTGTGCATATGTTCATAACAGGGAAGGTGTAAGATGTCAATGAGTCATGTTCAGCCTGAATATACCAATAGATTATGTGTTAAGCATCATCTCATATAGAAGTATGAACATTTAACCCACCCAAATATAAAATAATGGAAGACCATATGAGATTATGCAAGTAATTTATAGATAGCCTTATGGAAAAATAAGAATATTGTATGTGCTAAAACTAATTCTTATAAAATATTCATGGTAGAAAATATATGGTAGTATGCATAAATTCATTATATGAAGAAAATACATATTTTCCTTTAGGTACCTGCCATTATAAAATTAACTAATAAACTGAAAAAAGCTACAAAATAAATGTTACTAGATTCTTAAAGCAGTGCATACACATTAAAAGTAGAACACTGTGGCTGAGTAATATTCCATTGTATGTATGTCCCACAGCTTTTATCCACTCGTCTATTGATGGGCACTTGGGTTGCTTCCATAGCTTGCCTATTGTACATGACGCTGCAATGAACATAGGGGTGCAAACAGGGGTGGGCAAAAGTAGGTTAACTTACCAGCCATCATTACTTAACAAAAATAAATCATAAGTAACGATACAAAATAATAACATTAATAAGACAAATAAATAATACAATAATTAAGAAATCAATAATACAAAAACAAACTGTGTTTCACGTACTCACAGATGTGCACCTACTTTGCCCAACACTGTATATTCTTTCAGATTAATGTTTTTGGCACAAACAAAATAGAAACAGACTCATAGATACAGGAAACAGACTGATGGTTACCAGAAGGGAGGGGGGTCGGGAGACTGAGTGAAAAAGGTCAAGGAATTGAGAAGTACAAATTGGTAGTTAAAAAGAGTCATGGAGATGTAAAGTACAGCATCGAAAATATCTATAATAATAAAAGCGTGATATGCTAAATAGACCAGACGTTCTTCCGGAGGTCCTTCTAGACGACCTTCCAGATGAAGCCATGGAGGTGGGGACCAAGGCAGAAGTGGCCACTCTGATGGCAGGGGCCGAGGCAGCCGCCGCAGCGGGGGGTGAGCCCCTTGCATGACTTTCGTGCATGGGGCCTCTAGTAGCCAATAATATTGATATAACTATATACGGTGCCAGGTGGGTACTGGAAATATAGTGGGGGACACTTTATAAAGTACATTATTGTCTAACCACTATGCTATACACCTGAAACTAATACAAAATAATATTGAATGTAATTTAAAAAAATAGACTGTTGTGGTTAGAAGTAAGCTATATTCTATGGTTTATGAAAAAAATACTTCCAAACTGAAAATTTGAATAGTTTATTAATGTATTATCTTTGTATGAGGTTTTCACAAGTTTTTGTCTCTTTTTATTTTCTGTTCCACTCCAAACTTTTCTGTATGAGTTTAAGTGATTAAGTACTAATCCTTGAAAAGCATCTAAACAACTCTCCGAGTAGATTTTAAAATGAAAGCTGAAATTGGGCCATATTTGTCAAATACCATTAAGTTAGAAAAAGGTATTTTCTAAAAGTCACAATTGCCTGAAATCAAAGCCAAAATAATTTTAACTATAGGATTTCACCGTCAATTAATTTCTTTATTATTTCAGTGGTAAACAAGCAATGGATATGAAAAGGCAATGCTCAAATAAGCAATAAACATATAGAAAGACATTTAATCGTATCACGAATATAGGAAATACAAATACATAATAATAAAAAGTTAATTTGGAGATATTCATTAAAAATGTGAATAATGGTCTCTTCTCTGTGTCTTTTGAATTACTTTATTTTAATCCTCATCCCAAGATATGTTTTACTGATTTTAGAGAGAGGGGTGTGGGGGGGGGAGAGGAAGAGAGAGAGAGAGATGAGAGAGAGAGAGAGAGAGAGAGAGAGAGAGAGAGAGAAACACTGATGTATGAGACAAACATCGAATACACAACCTATGCATATGCCCTGACAGGAATTGAACTGGCAACACTTCGGTGCACGGGAAGCTCCAACCAACTGAGCCACACCGGCCAGGGCTGTTTTGAGTATCTTTTAATTTCTTATGTGAATTTCAATGTACTATCTGACTTTTTCCAATGTATATAATTTTGACAAAATATAAAGTCAGTACAAAATGCCTCAATGATTGTTTGCTAAAACATTATGGCCAACAAATAAGTAAAGAAAATTCAGAAACAAAACCAAGGAATTCAGTTAATATGATAAAAGTGATATTTTTCAAATAAGTGAAATAAGTGTATGACAATAAGATTATAAAATAAATGGCACTAAGAAAATTATAATATATATATGCTGGCTAATACACACACACACATACACACATATACACACACACACACACACACACACACACACACACACATATATATATATCTCAATACTTATTACAAAATACTAATTCCTGATGTTACAAAATTTAACATGTATTTAAACCATTAAAGTACTATAAAATATAAGAGCAGTCATTAAAATAGATATTCATCATTTAAATAATAAGTTATAGAACAATATTTGTGGCATAATCCCACTGATTACCATAGTATATGTTTTGAGTAAAAGTATGAAATGAAAGGATACACACATAGTAAATTTTGTTCACCATTATATCACCATCTTCTATCACATGCGCCTGGCACATGGTAGCCACAAAAATATATTAGCTGAATGACTAAATAAATTAGCTCATATGCATTCTTGCGGTGACTGTAAGTTGAGATAACTTTTCTGTAGAAAAGTTTGGCAATATGTATCAAAGAAAAAATGAGTGTACAATTTATTCTAGCACTCCTATCTCTAGGAATTCATCCTATGACTAATTGTTACAAGCTTGTGTAGTAAGTATGCAGAATTAAATCTTTTTAATAACAGGAAAAAATATGTATGTTAGTGGAGAGATGGTGTGGGAAGTATCTGCCTTACAACAGGACTCTGGTCAAATAAATTGAGGTAAATATTTCCATGGAATATGAATCTATTTTAAAATAAGATGTTGATCATTTACCATGAAAATATAGCTGATATTAATTGATAAATGTGCTGACTGCAAAATTTAATGTGATGTCACATAGATAAAACAGCATATCTAAATAGGCTGGTGTGTATTTGTACAAAGATATTTCTGGAAGGAAATGCATCAAAATGCTAACAGTGTTTATCATTTGGTTGCTAAGATTGCATTTTTACTATCATTGAAATTTTCTATATTATATATTTTTAAATGCTTCTATACTTTGACAATCAGAAATAAGCAATAAAATTCACTTACAAAACAGAAAATAAAAGTATTCCCTAACTTATGATGACTAAATGACAAAGCACAAATCCTATAATAAAAAATAACACAAAGGTTAATCTAACTTTAATATTTTTACTCATTTGTAATGAATAATTCAACACATTTTATTTTTTGATTTACTACTTGTATTCGTGAGCAGGTTTAGATAGTGAATGTGAGTAATTAGGTTATTTTCTACATCAGTATATCAAATCACCTCTGTGGACTTTTCTGCTTTTATAGAAATATCAAAATATCTTCCAATTAAGTCTTTAAAAGATGATATCCTGTGAAATTTTATTCATATACAGATAGGTAATTTTTGTCATTCATAAAAATGGGCTAAAATATGTTCCTTACCTTTCAATGAAAAGTAAACACTGGTCTTTTGGGTTGTACCAAGGGAGTTGTTCTGTAGCAGAAAAGAATCCTGTAAATAAAAATAACACATACCTGTTTTTAAAGTTCATTTTGCAAAAGTTTATTCACATATTAATGAATTTGTAAATCATACTACAGTTTGGCTAGCATTCACAATGTTAGAAGGAAATTGGTGGCAGAAGACATTGTAAAGTATACCCTGATCGAGGATGCGCTTTCACTAGCACAAATCCCCCCTCCCATCCTGCTGTTCCTGGAATTAAAAACTGCTGCAAAAAAAGTATAGAGCAAACAGTCTGCCTTTAAAATAATACTACCTAACAATGAATACTCTTTTTTTTTTTTTTTTTTTTTTTTTATCTACAAGGCTGTTGTAAGCATTGAGAAAGGCTATGAGGCAAGTCATCAGCAAGGTTGGGTATATTATATGCCAGCTTAAAAAGAGAAATATAGTAAAAATGCTGTAACTGACTCACGGCAACATGGGTTCGCAAACCTTGCAGATGGATATAAACCAGGCTTGCCAGACATCACAGAAAGCACTTATTAAAACTGCTACGTGGAATGCAATATGCCTGCTTTCTAGCCCCTCCCTCCTTTGCCAATAAACGACTGCCCCTTTATTTTCAGTGTAAAAATACATGCTCATAGAATATTTCGATAAAGAGATTTTTAAAAGCATACATAATCACACTGCCCAATGATGCCATTTGGAGTATTTTCATCCAATTGTTTAAAAACAGGTTTTTGTGAGAGGCCAGACAGGAGTTCTGGATGAGCAGACGGGAGGACACTCCTCTTCCCTTGTTAGAAACAATGGCTAGTATTTTTACCACTTATCTAAGCTTTTCTTTTTAAATTATAAAACTATAAAGATAGAATTTTGAGGGGAAAAAACGTCTTCCAGGGGTGTGTGCCTCAGCTACCGAGGTGCGTCTGGGAAGGTGGGCGGAGTCTGGAGGGGGGAATAGTGTTTGGTCATTCATTGGGCTTAGCTATTGTCAATCAAGCATGCCCAGCAAATGAGGTGCCAGCTAAAGGAACACTGGGAACTAAATTAACGGGAGGTAGAACTGAAAGGGGAGGGGGATTGCGATCAAAACATTGGAGAGATCTCGGGGTCTCACACTGCACCATCCAGCTGCCTCACGCTTCTGTCCGCCGCTGCGGCAGCCGGGAGAGCGTTGTCACCGCTGCTCTGGCACAGGTCTCCGCGGCCACTGCTCGCTGCCTTC